CATCCCCTCTTCACATCACCTCCTCCATGTCACCCACCCTCGCACTGACGACCAGTCTGCCGCTTCCCATTCGGGTTCCACTCAAGGGCCTGTCTAGTGATGCCACTTGGTGGTTTCTTCAGAGTATGGCCAGCCAATCCATCTCCATTTCTTCCTGCATATTTCTTGCATAATTGGTTCCTGATGGGTTGGTTCGTTCATTGCCAGAGATCCCTCCCTGTTGGCTATCTTTCCTGGCCAGCCATCTGATCTTGAGCCAAGTATTGAGTGAAGACAGCTGTTGATGAAGGTCTGTGGTTTGTTCAAAGTGGCCTTCATGACACTGCGCTGAGTCTCTGATCCGTATAGTAAGTAGCATTGACTTCACACTGGAGTTGAAAGTCCGGATCTTATTTTCATTTTCATGCTGATTGCTGAGGGTTGATCTCCACACAGACTTGGTGAGAGTAATGAAAGCTCGCCTTGCTTTCCTGATCCTCTCTGCTTTGATATCCTCGATACTTCTGCCTGTAGTTGTTTAGTGACACAAACTGCCAGACAACAAAGGTAGGACTTCATGTGAAAATTCAAAAGACAGAGGCGATGAAGATACCCGACTATCAAAAACAACAAGCTTCGATCACTATCAACGTAAGAAATTTTAAAGACGTCTCTTCCTTCATTTATCTAGACAGCATCGTTTCAACTACAGGCGGACAGCACAGGGGGGGGATATTAACACCACTATCGGAAAGGCAAGGTGGATATGCATCACTCTGAAATTAGTTTGGAATTCTTCTTCACAAAGTCAGAGTGAATAACAACATTCGTATTTTCAACACCAATGTTAAATCAGTCAGTCCTTGTATATGGGTCAGAAATTTTGCGAGCGCGTCACAAAAAGCATTTCCAATTGGCTGCTGCATACTTTTATCAACCTTTGCTGGCTCTATATTCAAGATTAGATGTTCAGAAAGAATTTGCAGCGAGAAACCCTGTTCAACAGATATGTAGAATAAAACTGAGACGGATAGGACACACTCTGAGGAGATCATTGGGTGACGTCACGCGTCAGGCAATCGCTCGAGTGGAATCCCAATGGGAGACGACAAGTTGGGCGTCGGAAAGTGACAGGGAAGAGACCATGTAAGGAGGAGATAAGAGCCCACAGGGAATCAAGGAGTCAGCTAGAGAGGACTACAGAGGATGGGGTGAAATGCAGATGTGCTTTAGAAGTTGTATATTCTGCTCAGAACCCAAGGGAATAATAAATCACCCACCACTTTCGCTCTACCCCGTACAATGTTAATGCTGAATATCTTCATTCTTATCATCTGTGTATGTGGACTGACTGACTGAGTAGTTTTTAGCAGGGCCTCTTAATAATAATAATAATTTGCTTTATTCCAGAAACAGTATTAGTGGTACAGTGTGGAATTTTCAGCACACATCTACAATGTTGTTGTGTGTTGTTGTTGTTTTTGTTTTTCCTTCACTTTCCCCAGTGGAACATAGGGCTTCAAGCTAGAGGCTTGAAGTTTCTGTAGCAGTGATTATTTTACAGGATGGGGTTGCTAGCCTCATGCCCAACCTTTCCTCTTTACCAGCATTATTTCTGGCTTAGCGAGGTAAAGGAGTGTGTCGGTGGCCGGGGATCGAACCCCGGACCATGTGCATGGTCGACGAGCGTCTTACCGCTATGCCACCGACGCACATGTAGTGCAACTGCTGAGCTTTTTTCTAAATTACTTATCTTCTCGGGGTCAACTATTCTTACCTTGGCTAAATTCTTATGTTCCGACAATCTGATAACCCCCGATCTACTAGTTTGACCTATATAGTTGACCTCACAGTCATTGCAAGGTATTTTGTAAATTATATTATTTTGTTTAATTGGGTCCACCGGGTCTTTAAGCCTACAAATCAGAAGAGGATAATATCTACAATATCAAGACACTCACATAAAAGGAGTATTAAACAAACAAACAAAAAAAATAAATCTAAAGACACCAACAGCAAAAAAACACAAAAAAACAAACAGGATAAACACAAAATAATTATAAATGCGAAAAAGTACAAAGAAGTAGAAAGGAAATAAACATCATATAATAATAACTCAGTATTGGGTAGTGGAAGCTATGATATGATTATCCATGGTGACAGTAAAGCTATAGTCATTCAAGAAGTTATGGAATGATATTTAAGAATGTTTATCGCCAAGATGGTCAGTTAATTTGGTTGAAACAACACTAAACAATCATGAAATAACATTTCAAGGTTGTTGTTTTGTTTTTTATTGTCAGGTCTAATACAGTGTTTGTAGTGGAAGCGTGAGTAATCCTGAATAATACAAAATTTTTTAAGGTGGTGACTATGGCGTTCACAACCAATGATTGTCAGTTTAATATTGCCGAAAAGTATAGAAAATAAGAAAAAACAACCACAAAACTAATAATTACATGATGGTTAATGACAGGACAATTTTGTAATACTCATTGTGCTAATAGAGTCCGAACCAGTAGATACACAATAGAAGGAATATAGTAAAGTACAAAAAAGGAAGCCAATGTTAATATTTTAGGTAGCTAAGTATGTTAACGCAAATTCCTTCCCTAATACAAAATACGAGCGTACAGTTGGCTAAGAATGAAGTTGTTGAAAAATATATATGTGCCTTTACGTTGAATAAATCTATGGTTATCCCGATAATTCTTAATACGCGGGGTAAATCAGACGACAAAAAATATATAAGCCAGCTCGTATACCATTCACACACTGGGAGCCAATTCAGTGGCTGGTCCGGGAATCCTAACTTCTACCAATTCATGAGGTATTTAGCGCGAATGGCACCAACTAATGTTATCAGCCTGACTGCATTCTCACTCCCGATTGGATTGACTTAACTGGTCACAACCTCTCACCAGAACTCAATCTAATCTTCGCTAGAGACTGGCTACACGACGGAGTTTCCTGGAGTTCTAGTGAGAAGTCGTCACCGGCAGTGGCGTCCATCCAGTCGGGAGTGAGGATAGAATTCCCGCCGTAGACGCTAGTTGGTGGCCGAGCTAAATGCATCACGAATTGGTAGAAGTTAGAATTCATGGGCCATTGAATCAGGTTCCAGTAGCTGAAGGTCCCGGGTTGGAACCCTGTCGGTGGGTGCGTATTGCCAATGATCTCCAAACTAGGCTGACACAACAGCCGTCCGCCAGTACTTCCTGGATTGTTTTCAATGGTTCTCTAACTGATGTCAATCCGTGGTCTAACCTAAAACATATAGAATCCCTACAAACCAATTCTTGAAAATAAAAAATTTGTATTTCCCAATGAATGAAAAAACAAAACGATATATCATACATTTGGTTCCCTTCATAAATTTTGATAAGGAAAGAAAGAAAGAAAGACCAAATTTGCAGTATGTAATGATATCACCATTCTGTTTCGCAGGTTCACATCAGCTGCAAACTTCCTGGAATTAAAATGGTTATAAGCTTATAGTATTTCCTCTACTATCCTTTTAACATGGGAGTATGTTATTGTCCCAGTGGCCGAATAGTTTATGAGCTTGTCTTGTAACCGGAAGGTTCTAGATTCGAACTCCGGTGAGTGCACACTAATGATGATTTCCAAACTAGGATGAAACAGCTGTCCAGTACTCCCTGGTTATTAGTCATTATTTATAATCATTGTGATTTCAGGTAGTGTTGTGCAGCTGATGAGAACCTGTGAAATAGACTGATGACATCACTTTATACAGCAAATCTGGTCTTTCTTTCTTTCTTTATTGAAATTCCAGTTTAATATTACTATGATGTAGCTATTAGCAGCATCTCGTTTAGCGAGATGTCAGTGAAAACAATACCGTTTTGTTTTTTCCCTGATTGGGAAATACAAAAGACTCTGCTCATAATAATAATGTATATGATATACCCAATACTAAAATTTGTTAAACTGTCAAATATGAACATATTTTGAACTTATATTATTATTAATACTCTCTTCGGTTCCCAGTGGAACATAGGGCTGGCTTCAACAACACTTCTCCACTCTCTTCTATTCTCTGCTATCCTCTTCAGCTGGCTAGCTCCACGACTGACCATAATCTCTCATCTCCTCCTCCAACTCACACGATCTCCTCCATGTCACCCTCACACTGACAACCCACTCGAGTGATGGCCTACATTGAGCGTGATGTTATTCGATTGCCTCCTCAACGTATTCCCGATCCATCTCCATTTTCTCCTACATATGCCTTTGTTGAGCAGTCAGCTCTCGCCTGTTGGTTTATTCCCAGAGAGAGTTTCTTGTTGTTAATTCTTTCTGGCCGGCTAACCATTTGATCTTCAGTATGCAACCAGCCAGCGAAGTGGGCAGCAACTGAGATAGGTCTGTAACCTGTTGGACATTCTTTTTCGTAAAACACGCTGGGCGAGTTTCTGACCCGTAAAGAAGCCCTGACTGACTGACTGACTTCACATTTGTGTTGAAAATCTTGTTGAATCTTGTTCTTTATGCTGCTGAGTTAGTGCAGCCTGATGAAGGCGCATATTGCCTTTCCAATTTCGTCTGGCTTTGATATCTTCATCTGTTCCACATGTGGTTGAAGCAGTGCCTCCTAGCCAGATAAGTGAGGGAGGAAATAACCTCTGACGGATCTCTCCTGTTGACGGTAACTAGTGATTAAATGATTTCTGAGTTGATAGATGCACTTAATTCATTCAATTCTATAGTCCAAATAGTGTTCAGCACTCAGTTAGTATTGTAATCGCATCTTCAGTGCCACTGATTTGACAGTATTACAGGAAGTCCAATGGCATTCAAATCAGCTTTGTGGTGATATCTCACTAACTTCAGTATCACGTGTGATGAATTGGAGCCAGTGAGACCAGATCAGTGCCATTAAGGTTGAAAACAAACATATGACCTTCAGTGTTGATTGCTATCAAGTATTCAACTAAGTATAATCAATCACTCTCTGTAACTTTTTATTCCTTCCTGTGTTTTCTCCTTCTAAACCAAAGCTGTACAACAGGATCGTTTACCACCGTTCCCTTCAATATATCATCCATATTATGGTCTATCGAATTTGCTTACTTCAAACATCTTTACATCAATGCGTCATTTAATGATTGGACCAAATATTACACAAATAATCAATATGTTACTCTATGCTGAGCGTAATTCAAATCAATACTTAAATAATCAATATTTAGTACATTATTTGAATTTCATTTTAAATGGATTCAATAAAACAAACTCAGTGAGCCAATCAGTGACAAGGACAAGTGAAGTTATAAACCAATCCAGTGTAAATGTTAATAGCAGCTCTAGCAGCAGCAACAGAAGTGGGGGCAATAATGGTGAAAATTTTAAATTTTCAGAAATATTCAACTTATCTACTTATAGTGATATCAGTAGTAGTGATAATGCCATGAGACTGACTACTTCACCAGCATATTCATCAGAATTTTCAATGTCTAATTCAAAATCACCAGCAAAATATCCTCCACAGAATATGGATAGTAACAGTGAACAGTCTACAGTCATGAATGAAATAACCAATTCTACACTGTCTTATCTATTTGTGATAATTGAATGGGCACGAAGTATCCCGTTATTTACGGAATTACAGGTAAGCCAATCTTGTTTTTATTTGGGCGCATGAAACGCCTATATTTTACCCTATTTGTACTCATCATATCTGTATTTGAGCACGGAGATTTTCATTCTGCCCCCCGTTTTAAGTGATGTTTGGAAGTGATGAGCCATCAAGTAGAGGAGTTGCATTAGTAGAAGGAAGCCAAGATAATAGAGATGAAGATGAAGACAAAGATGAGTGAGGATTAGAGAGGTTTCGCGTGCATTTCGGATTGTGAGGGCGATTGTTACTTCCCGGCTGCCCACACCGTGGAAGTTGGTTGCGTGACCTCAGACCCTAGGGGACAACTGCTTGAGGCCGGTCACACGTGGCCTGTTTTTGTTTGTTCTTTTTCATCTGGTTTGTCTCAGTAGCATATTTATCACTTCTGCCCTGTGACACGGCAGCAGGAAGCGCGGTCGTTGTTAATCCGCGCCCCGACCGATCCGGCATGATATTTTGTGATTTACTTTGAGTTGGGTTGGGTAACTGCTTTTTGTCTAACCGCTATCCAAACAACCTTTCTGGCATGGTAGGACCTCAAGCGACATAAGTCTCAGCCAGTATACCTTGTTGGGTCATTGCGGTGTTCAAGCCCGACCACCACGTCAAGGTAGCAGCTTTCGGTCGGGTAAGTGATACCCTGTAGTGAGTAATTTTTGAGTTTAGGCGTAGAGTGCTGGTAAGGGAGCGAATTTAGTCGATGTGGGTTTTTGGAGATGAATCGATTGATATGGCCTGAACACATATTAGCTATGCCACGTTCCTTGTCGAATAATGCTAGCTGATATGGAATTGGGTTGGAAAGGGAATCGAATCAGAAGCTTACATCAGTCCCTGAAGTCTCTGTCAGTTGGTTTGAGCCAATCAGCTACGAAGGTGTAGACTGTCTGATAGAAGTCGTTCGGATGCCAAGAAGCCAGTAAATCCAAACTGTTTGTGATATGACTCAATGGAGAAGATAAATGCACTCTTTGCAGTCTACTTGGTCCATTGGTTCCTCACGTACTTCCGTGTTACTATTCTTTATCTGCTGATTACAGTTCTTCGGAAATTCTTTTCTTACTTTTCTATGTCTTAATGTGATAAGTCGAATGTGGTATCTTGAACTGGTTAGATTCTGTTAGCGATCCACCCGCTGATGCACCCTCCCAAATAAGCGAAGCGGTCAACGCTCTCAACCACCACTTCAATCCCTCCCTATCTTTAAGCTAGGAGTGAGTCAATGTAGTTCATTTCAGTCCTGTTGCATCACCTTGCATTTGACGGAGGGAGCGTATCGCATGTCAAACATTCGAAGAATGCTGCTTCTCAAGGTGTTCACAAGACTCTGCATTCTGTCATAGTCCTCACCTAGAAGCAGGACCATCTGTACATTCTAAATCAACGAGATTATTCCTTGGTAACAATCAAATCCTGTAGTGCCTGAAGTCATTGAGGGTCAGTTCAACTAATACATTTATGATGAAATTAAGCAGAAATGGAGACAGTTGGCATCCTTGACGGATACCATTGGGGGTCTACTTTTTTACTGCCGACGATTTTATTAACTTCGGCAAGTATTAAGAGAGTCCGTTTTTATTGTCACAATCATTTATAATCTTTGAACTATTGACTAGTTCAGCACGTCATAAAAAGTGAGTTGATTACTTAACAGGTTTCACCGAACCTGACCAATGAAATGACCGATAGAAGTTGAGGAACACCTCATAGTTATTTTATTCTAAATTGAAACTAGTGCGTTGGTGGCACAGTGGCGGCACACATGCGGTCTGGGGTTCGACCCGCTACTGACGCACTCCCTTACCTCATTAAATTAGTAATAAGACAGATAAAGAGGCAAGGTTGGGCCAGGTGAGGCTAGAAACCGCATTCCGTAAAAATAAACACCACTGCTACCGAAACTTCAAGCCTCTATCTTGAAGGCCTTCGTTCCACTGGGTACCTAAATGAATAATAAATATATAATAACTTGAAATTCTTCAGTAATTCAAATTATAGATTTCTTAAGGATAAATTCAGCATGTTAATAATAATAATAATAGCTTTATTCCAAACAGTATTTGTGGTACAGGTATGGAATTTTCAGCGTTCATTACAATATTGCATCTAATTACCTCATAAATTTTATAAGGATTTAGAAATATAAAGCAACAACAACAAAAAGAAAAAGAGAAATAAAAGAAATAAAAAAGAACAGCATTACATTCACATATTTAAACAATGCACCGCAGGATACGATATATAAAATTAGTCTGTAATAGAATATATGAGCAACAATATAATAGTAACAAAGAAAGGAGAACAAAAGTTAATGGGAACTATTTGTTAGAGTGCCGCAGTAAGGTGATCGTGTCATACCTAACGGATTTCTCTTCACATAACAGCTGTGCCAGATAAGGTATTGTGGAGTTTTTATACTTGGTAGTCCTGGCATATAGCCTCCTATAGTTGCTTCTAGTTCTACCAGATGAAATGCAAGGAGAGAGGTGCGTGTAGAGAGGGTGTTCGGGGTCTGATAATATAGAATTCGCTAGTTTCTTACATGACATTATGTGTCTATCCACAATAGTGTTAACCAGTTGGTTTAACGAAATCCCACTTCCCCTACTAACAACTTTTAGTGCCCTACGCAGCGAAGCAAGGTCTTTCTTAAGTAGTCCAGGAAAGATTAATGGGGAGCAGTAAAGAGGGATGGTTAGAATACAACAATTGACAAACTGAGAAAGCAAAGACTGATTTATACCAGACTGCCTTAACTTCTTACGTAGAACGTTAAGCGAAACATCTTTCTAGTAACTAGCAAGATGTGAGAGGACCAGGAAAGGTCGGAGGAAATACTCAGTCCAAGGTACTTGATATAAGATGAAGTTTCAACCTCTTTGCCGTCAATGATAGTGGGACCATGTGAGCTAGCTAGTTGTTGTAGGTCACTTTTTCGTCTGAAAGTGAAATTTACTATCTGACATTTAGACGGATTCAGCTTAAGACCGTTTGAAGACCGTTTGTTCGTATCTAAAGACAAGACACACAGAAATTCCATGATGTCGCGTACCACAGATTGCTTGATATGAGTAGCGGGAAGGCTGTTACGTCGAGCAGTATTATTTGCTAGCTAGATCAAAGTTATCTAATAAACAATGAATGGATGTTTTGCTTATACAGGTCTGAGCTCATCAACGATATAGTCGGTAAGGCTTCGACTTGGCTGGCAGGGAATACTGCTAGACGTCAGCAGTTTCCAACTACTTACACTGACAATTAGTATGTAGCATCATGCGACTCCTCTTGTTTTCTTGATTGCTATCTATGAAATGAAACAATTCACATACACACACACTGTGATTTATATATATTTTAAGTTATCTCACCATATGTGTTATTTGTAAATTATTATTATTATTACTATTCTCACTATGAATCTTTCCCACTTGACCCACTTGACATTTTAAACCCAAATTATTAATTTTTATATTTTTATTTTTTACAATATTGAATTCTATCTAATCAAATTTCACACCATGTTATGTAACATTTTATATTCATCTACTAATCTTATAATTATGTACCCCTTTCCAAAATCTATACATCCGTCTTATGTATTATTCTAAATATGACATTAATTATTTTGCCACTTGACATTTAACTATGATTATAATCACAAATATTTTATTATTATTATTTCATGTATTCACACCTTTATTTCTAAATGACAAATTTAAATCACCCAAAGTGAAAAATAGGGTGACAACTTCTCACTACAACTCCAGGCAACTTCATCCTTTAGCTAGTCAATAACAAGCATTAGATTAACTTTCAAAAGTTAGTTTTCACGAATTTGAACTGCTTCAAGTTTAAGAACACAATATTCAGAGAAGAGACTCTTTTCAACGAATTTACTATCAAGCTGTACAATCGTATATATATATGGCTTCTTTTTAAAATTATACCCGGTGAGGGAATTAGGTCAAAGGTGTGAATACATGAAATAATAATAATAGTAGTATGAAATGCAATTAAAATATTTGTGATTATAATCATAGTTTAATGTCAACTGGCAAAATAATTAATGTCATATATATAGAATAATTCATAAGGTGTATAGATGTTGGAAAGGGGTACATAATTATAAGATCAGTAGACGAATATAAAATGTTACATAACATGGTGTGAATTTTGATAAGACAGAATTCAACATTGTAAAAATAAGAAATATAAAAATTAATAATTTTGGGTTTAAAATGTCAAGTGAGTCAAGTGTAGAAGATTCATAGTGAGAATAGTAATAATAATAGTACTGATAATAATAATCGTAGTAATAAGGGAAGAGTACATAGAATAACTAAATAAACAAAATAAATAAATAATTGTCTATCCCTCTACGGCCAAGGCAGAAGTAGGGATTGTACATACTTCTCTTGTACACAAAGGTCTGGCTGGCTTAAAGTCATGACTAGCCAAGGCTTCAGCTGTCTTTAGAATTCTGTAACGAAGAGAACGCGGGAAGTTAGCATGGATTCTATACATGATCTTAAAATCATGGTCAGGGTTGACAGAGTGACAGAAGTCGATCAGGTGTTCCAAAATAGAGCTTCTCACACACTTCCTTTCTCCCTTGTAAAACCATGCTGCTGGAATATGTTCTCGTATCCGTGTGGAAAGCGTCCTCTGACTACGGCCAATGTATCTTGCTCCACAAGAGCAGCAGGTGAACTGATAGATGCATATGGAGGCGGCCAGACGGGGGAGCTTATCTTTTACAGAGGTAGAGAACAACTTGTGGCTAGTGAACGTCTTATGTAATTTTGCTGTATAGAACGTCTTGCTGACTCATTTAGAGAGACGATTTTTGAGCATATCTGAATCTTGACCACCTTTGATTTCCAAGTTCATGAATGAGGTTTCCTTTGGAACTGTGTCGGTGACCAGTTTAGACTGCTTATCTTTCATGTTGCTGTCAATAAATCGGTTAGGGTGACCGTTTTCTGCGAGCT